GATGTGACTCTGGGACACCTATCCCTGGTGTCCTGGGAAATAGGTAAGTGTGTATGGTTTAAGCCATTATTAAGTTCTCCATTCCTTCAAGCCACAGACACCCTGGAGGAAACATTCAGGGAAAGCGGGTTCTGCAGGGAGGTCACAAAACCTTGTGCTGGCTGAGCGGAGCGGCACCGTGAAGGGCGGTGAGGACCCAGTTATTCCTAAATTATAGTTCAGCTCACAACATAAGCTAAGAATTTAGGAACTTTAGTTTCTTTCTCTCTGTGCTACAAGGCATTGCTCAAAGCACAACCATCTTATGGTCTACCTGGCTCAGGTTCCACAACCTACAGCTTAAGTTTATTGCTGAGAGACTGACTGATCTACTTGCAGTGGAAAGACACAGTCAAATCTCTAGACCTAGAGAACTAACCTCAAAAGGCAGTACATTTGCCGAATTAAAAAAGCATCTTTAGTGGCCTGTCAACCTTCACTAGCAATACCCCTCTGTGGCAAGAGATACTGAAGTTTGATGAAGTTAGTGTGAAGAACGAGATACCAAGGACATGGCAATGAACGACCTGCCCCAAGTTATTTGACATGGAAGCTTAATCAGTGTCCACAGGTAGTTATTTGAATACAATATTGCTATCAAGTTTGTCGTCCTACCCTAGTTTTCCAAACTAACACTTTCTTTAATATGTCAGACTACAATCAGATACAGAACACGAATAAAGCTGTTTGCCAAGCTCTCAGCTCTCAGTTTTACCAACTTTTTTGTAATTAATACTATTTTGTAATTAATACCAAAGAAAAGAGAACAAATAAATACAGATCCATAGACTTTCAATAAAAAGAAGATTGCAGGTAAAATCAACATCAGACAGCTGTCAGTGAAGAAGGTATTTCAATCATTCAGTCCAGATGTGTCTATTCATTTAGGAGCACATATTTATCTGCACACAGGTAAGATTACAGATGATCCATACGAGCATTCCTTAGAATGCGTTCCCTGGAATGCTACTTTATCCCCACCCCACCCCGCAAAAAAGATACTATGTCAAATCAACTTGCATAATTCAGCACAGGACACCCTCCTCCTAGCTATTCACAATGTGCATCAATACGTCAGGGACTTTGGAAAGTTAATCTGTAAGTGAGCCAATTAATCATAACCTATCATGACCAAACTTATTAGACTTGGGAATCTTTTGACAACGTCCATTATCCTGTGGAATAACTATTTCAAAGCATACACCTGGGAAATGCTTATGTGTACACTCTGATGATATCAAGGCTTTCTATCTCTAAGAATACATTTATTTTTCATAACAGTTTCTATGCTATGAAGTAACGGCAATAAACATTTTGCTGCTGTTTATTTGAGCAAAAAGTCAAGAAGATGTAATATATGAGATATTATAAAAATTGAGTACAAACTCCTGAGTTCTTTTCTGTAAGTTCTACAAATTTCCTGTTTATATTTTTGCTGGTCCAACAACAAAAAGAATATGTTATCTTGAAAATAATTTGCTTACACATTTCTCTCTAAAACATACATGCTCAGGTAAAATTTAAAATGTGAAAAAGTGTTTCTCATAATAGATTTTATCCCAGATCAATCTAATACAATGCATACAATAGGTCTCTCTGTATGAACATAGGGAAAGGGTGCTTATATCGTTTAAGGAAAAAAAAGACTTCTTTTACCCAACCCCAATGAAGATAGTATTTAAGAAAACTTTTCATAAACATATTTATACAAACAAAAATAAGCCTATAATTTATTAAGGCTAAATCATATTCACTACCAATTTCAGACTCTAAATTTAAAAATAACTATGTCAAGAAAATGTTTAATACTAATTGCAGCACAAGGAATATATAATTTATACATTGATTGGTAAAATCTGGTTCATCAGTAAAATTACTTTATTATAATACTGCTGTGGAATAGGACCACACACACAACTTGTGCATGCAGGGGAGATACAGCCTAATGTCAACAGATGGGTTTTAGCACATTCCTTTACTAGGATGTGGTCACCTGCCACAAAGTACACAAGCTCATGCACCAGGTCAAGACTTTACATCCAGCTGAGATCACAATGTCATGCATGTAACAGCAGCGTGCTAGACAATCGTACCACAGTCTGAGCGGAAGTTCTCCCCCACCCCATGAGCCACTGCCAGCAGCTGCTGTGGGGTGTGGTTACCCATATCCGTGACATGAACGATGTCCTTTGGAGAATCTTGTTCCCTGTGGCTGTAAGTATTCTTATTTTTATAATATTTTAATGGCGCTTGCTATCAAAATGTTAAGTACAGAACTAGAAATTATGGAAAAGTAGACTTGTTACAATACTAAACAATCATATACACATCTTATCGCAGATACTTACAATAAACACCACTTACATTTAAACATATCAGCAAAAGTAACTGACTTCTCAGGCTTCAATGAACCCAACGTAACACATCTGATGACAGTGATCCAGTGAGGGGGGAAAAAAAATCAACCTCCATAAAGTACTTCCTGATTCCTAGCACTAAAACATCATGGCAAGAGTCATTCTAAAACCTGGCCAAAGGATGACTCATATAGGTGAGTTCTATATAAAAACATTTATTAGGATAACTCTTTCAATTACATGATTTCAATTTTGAAGGCTTGACTTGGATAAACAACAAAACTGACATTGATTATCAGTCAATTAAAGAAAGTATGGAATAGTCATTAAAATACTTCTCATTTCCCTGCACCTACAAGTATATTCCAGTGTCCCTCCATGCCTATTTCTGTCCTAAGTTTATTCTGGCAAAGAGAGAGCTCTCTTTTGTTACCAGGTGAAACCTGCTGGGTCAACATTGTTCATAAAAGCACAGAGCAGAATTCTGCAGCCACAAGGCACTTTGGATGGTTCAGCTCCATGCCTCCTGGCAGCACTATGTGTCCCTTTCAAAACAGTAAATTCAACACTTCTAGAATGCTCCAGGATATCTTTAAGTCAGGCCAAGGAGCAAAGAAAAAGGAAATACAGCCAACTCTCAATAACAATGGGAGGTAGGATGGATAAGTGAAAATCTGAAGATCTAAAAATCTTATTTTAATTAGTAAATTGAAGCCCCTCTTTTAGTAAACATTTGACTTAATTTTTAAAAAACTTCTTTGTCAGATAAAAAGAGGACTTTAATTTTGTCTCTTTTCTCTGCCCCCTCCTCCAAACATTCTAGAGGAGGTATAACAGGAAATCTATAGTTTGATAAACATAGCTGCAAAGATGGAAATGTATTTTAACATCTAGCTTTTCCAACTTAGGTATGTAAAATTTTCCATAACATACTCTAGTATATAAGGGCCTGTCCACAGTTTCATCTTTGTGTAAAAAGGATATTTTTTAATTTGTTGTAAAAATTGGTACTCCTTTAGCAAGGACGGACTACTTACCATCACCAGCGTCAGCAGTTAACACCCAACGTTTCTGACTTTGTAAACCTACAACTCAGTACTTACCCAGTTACATTTTCCTTAGAATGTAACATTTGCAAGTGATATGAATTGAGGATGACAGTTTTACTCAACACGGGTAGAATTCATGACTGGAGCCAGCATGCCTTGATAGACTGGGCATAATAAGACAGGCCCTGCGGCGGCCGCCCTTCCCCGTTCTTCCGCGTCTACAGTGAAACACTGCACTAATCCGCCTCAGTTCTTCTCCAGTAATCATCACTCAGTTAACTCAAGACGCTGATGCCACATGCTTATCTTATTAAACGCTAGTCATACGGACTGTTTTAATGAGCAACAAGTAATGTCTAACTCTAATAAATGAGAAAAACGACGTCTCTGAAACCACACCATTCTTCAACTACGTTAACTTACACAGAGCAGGGCCTGCCAGTGCACGATCAAAACGTGCTTACTTTGCTACATATTTAGGAGGAACCAAACATGGATTTGACCAAAAATAATGTCAAAGCAAATGTATTTTATAATAAAAGGTATTAGGAAAAATTTGCAATACATTTATGATTCATACTTATAAAATCAGTATTTACGTTTAATGTTCAAATATTTTGCACGGGAGAAACATTTCCCTAACACAGCAAAAGTTAAGATCTTTTAAAAAATATCTGGCTGCATGATTTAATAACTTAATTACGGAGTATTCAGGTAATTAAGGAGTCCTTAGTACCTCCACAACAAATGAAAAAAAGTTGGTTTATGAAAACTAAGTTAAAATAAAATTAAATAAATTTTTCCATAGGCAATAATCCACCCAGAAGTAACAGTTCTGAGTGCTACCTGATTTCCATTAGATTTCTAAGAATAAGATTTTTGAAAATCTGAACCATTCCAGAATATATTAAAATAAGAATGGGGGGAGGGGAGGAAATCAGTGAAAAGAACTGTCTTCACACTTCGATAACTCATATATTGTGTTAAGAAATCATTAAGTAATTAATTTTAACCAGTTGTTTTTGCTTTTCCTACTCTCCCTTTTCTCTATTTGTGTTTGCTTACCACCTTAAAAAAAGAATTAAATACTTAATGCAAAATTGTTCTACTTTATAACAGAATCTTTAATGTGTTTCTATGTCACCAGAGAATTAGACTGTTAAAAAGGCATTATTTAAATGTGTCACCAACTAGAAAACCCTCTGTATCTCTGATAAAAACAGCATCATTACAAAACAAACAATAACACGAAGGAAATGCTGCAGGTGAGCTCTGCTGAGCACGTCCTGTGCTCTGGACCTGTGGTGTAGGTGGCTCAGCCAGGTCCAGGAGGGGACCGCTCCTGTGTCATGGGAGCTGGCACACAGCGTGAGCAGATAGAGATCAGAACAGGACACGGTGAGAGCGAAATGACTGAGCCACACGGTGCTAACTGCAGATACCCAGCTAATGAGCAGTGACTGGAAGGTCACGTTCAGTGACTTGTCATTTTACTTGCAAGTCCGTTACACGGGAAAGCAGCAAGGTAACAATGAGGTTCGCACTCTTCACTTACCTCATCTGGGCTGGCATTAAAGGTGAGGCTGCCTTCATCCAGCTGCATGTACAGTTTTCTAAAAGAAAATCCCAGAGGCGGGTTCTTATTGTATATGGAACAGTGACCCCATGTGGATTTACACAACCTGTAAAAGATAAAACCAGACAAGCAAACGTGACTAAATTGAATTTCCTAAGTCAAACATGTACACGCGTGATAAAATGGTGATGTGAAATGATATAAAATTGGATGTTACAGCTCTACAGTTTAAAACGTTTAATTTTGTACTTTTTTTGTTTACTAGAGTGTGATAGACAAATGTCTTCAATTTAGCAATTCTGACAGCACTTAAAAATGTGAGTCACCAAGATTAATAATATTCGTGAGTCCTACCTGAAGTTAAACATAAACTAATGATGCTGATGATGATAACTGACATTCACCAAGTGCTTACTAGATAGTGGGCGCTTATTTAAAGCCTTTTAATAGTATTAACTTGCTTAATCTTTACAACAATCCTATGATGCTGGTGCTACAGATAAAGTAACAGACACTGTAAAAAAGCTGCCCAGGGTCACAAAGCTAATTTGTGTAGAGGCAGGATTTGAACAGAAGGAGCTTAATCCTGAGCCCACAATCTTAACCAAAAAGCTCAAAAAAGATTAAGTAACTATGAGCTTTGTTGCAAAATAAAACTGAATGAGGGGGAAAGACTGCTGGGCAGAGGGAGAAATTGCCTGCAATGTTATAACTTCAATATATAAACCAAAAGCTGTGACTTTAAGCTTAGCTGTTTTTAAGATCTGGCTTCATAACACTGGTCTTTTCTCTCACAGCTATACATGGTCATTTTAAAAAAGTCTAAAAAAGTAAAGTGCTAATGGTTCTTACCTCAAAAAACGCTATTTCTACATGTTGGAATACTTGTTTCCAACCCCATGCAGAGGCACGAGCTACTGGTGGTTATTTGAAAGCTAGTGTTTTATCTAATTACAATGCCTTGAAATTCGGGGTGTATACCGTAGATAATTCAATACAAATGCATTTCTCTAGAGACACAGAGACTACTGAAATTGTTATTTTGATGGTTTTAATGCCTCTTGTTCAAAATCTCTGTGTGTGTGTGTTTGCTCAAAAGCACCTACTTGCTGAGACAAACATTAAACTAGTTTTACTTTCTGATATTCATTATTGATTTTTGGCTCACACTTCCTTCTTTTCTCACACACATACAACTTACAGGAAAACAAGAAAAAGTTACAGCCTCAGTCTATAACACAAAGTTTATAAGGACAGTGGGTAAAATATGTACTTTCACATGGGAGTATCTTCATAAAAGTTAATTTACATCCTTGCAATATTGTTACCAACCAAATACAATCACTGATTTTAAATCAATGAGTTTAGTGACTTTAGAAAACTAATCACTATTTTACCAGCCTCTTCAGCCACATGGCTTTTGACTTTTATTACTAACCTATGTGAAAGCAACAGAACCTCTCAACATCCAAAATTAAAAAAAAATAAGCCTTTAGTTTAAATAGAAGTAATGTATTACTAAGGAAAAAAATCCAAGCACCACAGAAACAGGCATAATTATGAGGTAAACTATAAAGGAAGCATTTCTTTCAGAAATGAACAATTCCCAGATTTACATCCCAAATGAAGACTACATGCGGATTGAGTTCAGAAAAGCTTAAAGCTTCTTCCCCAAAGTTCAAATAAGGAACGATAAGATAGTAAAAGAAAAACAAGATGAGACAGATGATTTTTATTTATTTAGAGGCTGAGAATGGACTATATATAGTCAACACTGTAATTCTGTAGCACTGGGAAGCCTGAGGTAGGGATGTCATCGCTGGTAATGCATTTTTACTGAAGTTTGGCTATTTAGATAACTGACTCTCAATAGATCGTCACTGAGAAATTGTTTGAAGCCTCGAAAAACTTGTTTTACACTGTTAGGAAGGCTCGTTTTAAAATAATGAGACTCAAATAAGCTTTGGTAAAGAATGCTAGAAAACCCAAGCTTCAGTGATTCTTCTGTGATTGGTAATATTTTCATGACTCAAATATGTGACATAAGGAGTCATTCTGGTTCCACAGATTTCACTGCAGTAAACGTTCTAAGGTTCACAGCTTAACTTTAAACCGGTAGAACAGCCGCTAAAATTCGTATACTCCACCTTCACTTCAGCAAGCAGATGATCTTGCTCTTCTAATAGTTGCCCACTTCACTGCAAAATAGTGATCAGAAAAAGAAGTGGATGCAATAGTCACCTGTTAAGTGCATACTAACAAGCAGCACCGGTGAAAAGACACTGGGGCAAGACGCTGTTGAGAGAGACCCGAACCAAACCCGGCGGCCGGACTCACCCTTGCCAGAGCAGCTCGTCGTTCGCCAGGTCCTGCCAAACACAGGAGGCCAAGCAGAGGTCCGTAGCATTCAGGTAGGACAAGATGGTAAAGCTCAGCTCGGGAGGCAGCATTTCCAAATTAATGAACCCTTCCTGTTCTTTAGATTTCCTTGTCTTCAGAAGATGATATATATCAATGCCGCCCTGGACCTGTTTGCGATGACTGGTGCTGGAAACGCTGCTGGCCGCCATCCTCCTGCTCTGCTCTCTGCTGAGGTAGCCTTGCTCTCCGTAGCCTTCCTGCTGTAGCTGCTGGTTTCTGGCCACTCTCCACAGCCCCTGACCCATCTGCAAGCCTGGGACAGAGCCAGAAGAAAGAAGGCGCCATTAAAACAGGCATCCGCCTTTCCCTGTGGCAGGTCAGGTCTGACCTGCAG